CAGAGTACGCTGTAGGTATGTTTGGGAAAAAATCAACGCAACCTGGTTTCCCACCTTTGCCCGTTTTCATATCCAGCTGTTGGAAGGAGCAAAGAGTCTAACTGAATCAAAATATTTGCTGCAACGGCTCGTAATTTAAAACTTATATAGACATAACGAAACGACGAAATCCTCAGTAATCACATGATTAATGATAACTAATGAGTTTGTGGCCAATTCGAAAGCTCTAGAAAATCTGCACTTGCATTCAACGTACAACGGTTTAAAAGTTACAAAACAATTTCGCTCAGGTAAAATTACTTTTAAACTGCTGCAAACATATTACTTCATAAACATCGAGAGTTTAAAAAAGGAAACTATAACACTATAAACTATAACACACACTCAACTATTTTTATTGAGATGGATAGCGAATGGTTAGATATGTTAGAATCACGGGTTATTTTTGTTTGAGGACGTCGTGCGATTTTCACTAACAAGTTTCCTAATCGATTATCCTTTCCAATCCTCGTATACTTCTAAATATGATCATTCTCTGGATTATGGAGAAAATGTCCACAATCCAACCGATCACGTTAATAAGCATTGCAAGCAGGATTAACGAAATACTGATCGCAATACGTTTTCATGTGAACTGTTGTGAACAGCTGCAATGAATTTATTTTGGTGTCTTTCTTCTGTTTTAAAATCAATCAGATTTATTTCAATGAAACAGAAGGTGAAATCAGCTTGAAACACATGTTCTGCATTCGTCCCCTTCAGTGAGATAGGAATACTGCGAGCAGTCCCAAACAGTAGTGGGACACAGCAGTGTTCACGACTTATCATCTAGTAAGCAAGCATTCCTCTTTCAAGCAATCAACATTTTAGCGGAATCCAACAGTGCACATTATATTATGCCCCCCCCCACCATACATACAATGATCAAACAGCAAAATCCCGTTTGTCACGTCAGTCATTACAGTTGCTTTAGTTTTACTGTTTCGATGTTTTGATATTATTTTCGCTAAACTCTCGACGTGAACGAATTTGATCGATTGACGCGTAAACCATAATAAATTGCGGTATTCACAAACCATCATTAGTGTTCATCATTGACGGAAGTTAGAACATTCATGCATAGATATAACACAATCAACAGGCTTGCAGTTCAGGGATTACCCACGTGATAGTTTTCAACTTTGTTATTGATTCGGTGTTATCCATGTTTACACTTATAATTGTCTGAGGAAACAATATTCCCCACTGATATCCGTAAACATATGTACCGGATAAGTTGCAATTCTTAATGTTGCTACTACTCATCTGTGACCGGGTAAATTGTCTGCTCGAGGAAACCAATTTTGTACTGTAAAAATTTATCACTCTCACCATCTGATGATGAGTGTTGATGTCTGCAACACGTAGACACCAATGTGACCTGATCAGCCACCTATTCATGTCGTACAGTCCAGGCCGGCAATAAAATGAAGTCCCACACGTTTGGGTGTAAAAATGTTTTTCTACTCATATGTTGAAAATATAACATACTTCAAATAAAGTATGAGAGACATTTCTAGAATGAACAAGTGTTCTACGCGGAATGATAATCTAGATGCAGGTGACATAATATGCGATCGACTGTTTGTGCTCAACAATTTGTCCATTTTCTCAATTCAGGAAATGCTGTTTGGAAAGCGATGGCTTATATAGCGTTGGGTGGGACTGAGCTTTCTGCAACGATGGGACACAATTTCGGTACCAACGTGTGTTTAGTCTCATGTAATATATATAATACTAAAAGAATTACGATTTTGGATTGTTGATGATAATTTCCAGACATAACTAGTACGGGATATTGGTTGACCGAAATGGGATATGATTCAATCCGATCAATTCATAGTGTATTCTTAATCTTTTAAGACATGTGTGCTATACAGCTCAGCGTCATTCGCAGGCTCGTCCCTGTTCCATAGTTTAACACCATCGAATTGTCAATTTCTCGTACATTTCACGTTAATATCTGATGACTAACCGTTTTCAAGAGCAAACCGTGTTACCAGCTGATGGTTCGGAACAGCAACAACAACAGTGGATGGAGAGTTTGGGATTCCAAACAGTGGGCTTGCTTGGTACGTTGCTTTACGCGAAATGTGATTCCAAAAGGCACCCACATTATTCGCGCCAATAAGTTCAATTCTGGATTATATCTCATACCGAATCTTTCCAACGACAATCCTAATATGTTGACCACATTTGTAACCCGGGTTGTAACGAAGAAAGCCCAACCTGAAGGTACTTTCTTCATACCTGTGCGGCATGGCCCGGCATT